GGCAGAGCCCTACTGTATTCAGATACACAAGTCTCCATATACGGCAGCACAGCTAAACATGTCACACATAATTTATCCACAGCAGGCTGCGAGTTCACCTTTCACAGCTCGCACTTGGACCGTATGCAAAAGAAGGAGGAGAGCAACGCCGGGGAACTTAACTCAGATAAACTTCTTCTGTCAACAGCAACGATTTCATACCGCATGTGTGTGTGTGCGCATTTGTGTGCATGTGTGTATGTTAACAAATGCAGACAATCAGACCGTGAAAATGCTACCCTAGACCAAAATGCAATTCACCCGCCACTGTTTTCAACACCTCCCTCTCCCCCCTTTTTCTTCCACAACAGTCCTCTCCACCATCTGTATCTGCAGGCAGTAAATCTCATACAGATTCTGTTTGTGAGAGCTGTCCACCTGCACGTTCCCCCCCTCTTCTCCTCCCTCTTCTCCTCCCTCTGCTTTCTTTATCTGTGCTACTACCTTTATAACACTGATGGGAACAGAGAAAACAAACTGCAAAGCAATACAAAAACGAACTATGAAAAGGGTTAAACACAGGCAGAAAAGACAGAGGAGTGAAATGAATTTGCTGTGTGATAACAGCGTGATACAGTGAGTAAAAGAGATTGCTGTCTGATGATTACCTCTGATGTGTCAGGTTTTCCACAATCGATCGTTTTAAAAAATACAAGCCTGCTGACCTCTCTTCTGCCTGCTTGACTTCCCCTGGTTGAGTTTTTTATTCAACTCAGCCTTCATATTGCACTTGATTGAAAGAAAACCATTTGGTCAGAATATAGCGGTTGTGGTGAAGAGAAGGAACATTGAAAAGCGTAGAATAAAGAGAGAAAGACTGGGAATAATAATAGCTGCACTTGAGTTGCGGTGCTAGCTGGTAGCTTTCTCCTCCCTCCTCCACAGCTTCAGTCCACTCACAGGACAGCAAGAGTCACAGCTCTGTTGCCATGGCGTCTAACTCCATCAAACACTATGTCAGGTGCATGTGTGTTTATGTGAGCATGTGTGACTGTGTGGTGTTGTGTCTGTTCGCGGAGGTGGGTGTGTATGTGTCAGGTGGGTGTTACCTAGTGACTCAGAGCAGCATGGCTGACTTGTCTGCAATATATCAAGGTGTTTAGAATGTATCACTGTATTGGTGTGTGTGTGTTTGTGTTTGTGTGTATTCGTTCTATGTGTGTTAGTTAGTACATGAGGTCATACCACTCCCATTCCCACCTGAAACCCCCTTCTCACACTGATTTATGTACCATGGTCGAACAAAAGACATGAGCCACTCTGTCATTTACAAAAGACTTGAAACAACTGAGACTAAGGGAAAGAGTCAGAGAGGGGATAGCAGAAATGGTTCTGTCGTGTGTGTGTGTGTGTGTGTGTGTGTGTGTGTGTGTGTGTGTGTGTGTGTGTGTGTGTGTGTGTGTGTGTGTGTGTGTGTGTGTGTGTGTGTGTGTGTGTGTGTGTGTGTGTGTGTGTGTGTGTGTGTGTGTGTGTGTGTGTGTGTGTGTGTGTGTGTGTGGAGGAAAGGTTTTGATTGAACTGCAGCCTGCAGCTAGCCCACAAAAGCACCTATGATGGATCTCTCTGCTGCTTCAACTGTTAATGTTAAGCTCCAGCTTCTATAAATATGTATCAATTTGTTCATAGAGTCAACGCAATGCACTACAGACGGCGGTAATATGACATTAGGATTTTAGAGCCGACAAGTCACTGACATGTGCCCAAAAAAGGCCCTGCAGTTGTCTTCCAGGAGTAGATTAGGGAATGGTGTCTCCATGTTTCTCCATGTTATATTGTCATTGTCTAGAATACAAACAGACTTCAACTGCATGGCCTGATCTGAGTTTTCTCTGGAAAAAGTGTTGTCTCTCAAGTATTTAAGGGTTATGGTTAAAAAATGCAAATTCAATACGTTAATGATAGTACAAAAAAAGTCTTAAATCTGCATGAACAGATGTTCTGTCTTCTTGGGAGCACCAGAAACATGCTGTAAACGTTTCTCTGGTTTTGTCTCCACCAACCTTATTTATCTGCGGTTTGGTGCTGGATGGTTAGTGCACATTGTCTTTTTTTTTTACCCTTTTTGCAAAAACAGCTGACAGGAGCTTCGAGAGTGAATCAATACAGTTGTAGGCCATAAAACCATAACAATATGCTTTAGGTTACTAAAAGGTTACTAAAAGGTTTCATAAAGCTGCGCATATATACAGTATATATACGTAATAATAAATATTAGATTATTTTTGCACAAGGCAGCATCTGAACCTTGTAGCTTTCTGAAATTGAGATGAATTTAAACTAGCTGATGTCATGTTGTTGTAGTGTGATTTGCTGTGCACTATTAAAATGTGAAACATTTAAAAAAAAAAAAAAAAAACTGCAAAACCCTTCTTCCCCCTGAGTCACAATGAAGTAGAAGTGAAGAGTAGAATTAAATGGAAATACTCAAGAAAATAACAAGCACTTTATAATCATACATAAGTGAGTAAATGTACTTTACACAGGCAGGCTTCTTGTCTAAAGAGAGACGCAGTGACGAAGAAACAGGGCACAGTGAAAGGTTTTGGACTCACAGATAATTGCTGCAATTGCAGATAATTTAATGCACACTAAGGTTCCTGCTCACTGCTCTGCTGATGTCTGTGTACAGAGGAGAGACTGAAAAGGACTTTTTAGGCACTGCTTTCTCTCACAAGCCAGTGTCTCTCACGTCTCTGCTCATTCTGATCATATAACAAGGAGACCATGTCCATGAACATGTGTCCCTTGTGTTCCAGAACATTAAATACAGGAATGAGGGAACACAATTGAGAAAAATAACAAAGGCAGTAGGAGTTGGACAAGGAGATCTGGATCCATAAATCACCTTTGATCCATGCTGCTAAGCAAAGCCAGAGCTGGACTGAGAGCAAAAGAATATCCACTAGAGAAAGTGGAGTAAGGATCTTAGCGAATGGAAAATCCAGCAGGGAGACCCTGTGAGTCTGAGATGTTCAACATTCATAACAGACCTGAGCTCTGTTGATGAGTGTCTAAGGTCACCAATGATCTTCAAACAACTGTTACTAATTTCAGTCAGTTAAAACTATTACTTTATGTCTTTCTCTTTAGTCTGAACAGCTCTGTGTTCTGGTACCAATTCTGGAGCCCCAAAATGTGAGCTCACTGGAAAATGTGGGAATCTGTCAACACAGAGCTCTATAACAGACTAGCAGTGTAATATATAAATGACCATTGTTCAAAAAGCTCCTGAAGCCCCAACTGAAAGTACTCTGGTAGGGCCATTGTTATTTTTTAACAAGACATCCATTTGTACAGTGTCTCTCTGCATCATCTTGAAATCACTTTAAGGAATAGCTAATGTACCCAGATGACTATATAGTCGTATATATGTACATACATATCAAGCAGCTCTCAGTCCCCTAAACACAAACACTGAATTATTAGAGAGCTGAGGCAGAGATATATAGCTGCTACTGTCATATACAGTAGGTGCCTGGTGAATAATTATATCACACCACAACATTAAAAGTGGAGGGGACTCTTAATAAAAGGAGATTCATGAAAAAGAGTAGCCTCTCCATTTCGAGGATTGACAAGTGGATTTCTGTGGGGGAAATGCAGATAGAAGCCCAGCTCTGTCAGGGCTAAATGGAGACAAACTGACTATTCAGAAGATTTTTTGTCTGATCTGCATTATTTCCTTTTTTGCATTTCATTTCCCAAGCCGCAAAAGCTGTTTGCATAGTCCCTTACCGTGTTCAGCATAAACAGCCTCCCACATCCAAATAAAACCCATTATCAAAAGGTGCAACATACAGTACACAAGTCAAACAGTTTCAAAGCTATTGTGTGTGATAATATTAATAACATTACCTTGAGCAGTATAATATTTGAAAGCTGGAATTTGAGATAATGCAACTTATGTTTGATTGTTTTCTCCAGGGATCTTTATGTACAACACACATTAAACTATGACCTTTTGAAATAAAGGTTTCATTTTGAAATCACTAAGTTTCATTTTGAACTCTAAGTTCTCATTTGGACTGTCTGTTTTGTCTCCATGACAGTGTTGCAATATGATTCCACAATTTGGTCCCATGGGTGGAGATTTGAAATTTCCCATTGGAGTCCTGGGGTAATAAAGTTAAAGACCACCATTCAGCTTTCAATATTTTCACTTGGTCGAACATATATACCCCAAAAACAGGTATCGTTCATCAAAGTATTTGTAATATTGTGAAACAAGTGCTTTCTATTTAGATTTAAGAGATTTGAATAAAAATGCTTCATCAGTGATCGTCATTATGAAAGTGTGACCTATAATTCATCATTAGGACATGTTTTTATTTTGACTGGCACATTAGGTTTACATTTGAAATACATCATTTGTCATAGTGTTACATTAAGTATATTGGCCAAAAACATGTACTGCATCATTTACTTTTAAACCTCTAAAGACCAACATGATATCTTACTTTTGAAATCCTTGTAACATTTTGTAAAGTTTTAATATTTTTTTGTATTATTCAATTTTATTAATTATGTTGAACGTGCCCAATTTACATGGAAATGTAAATGAAGGACAAAGTCTGACTTGCTGTGCATTTTCATAACCCGTGATATCCTTAACATGAAGTTATATTATGTTCACCTGCTATCCGAGAATATAAGTACATGCAAAACCTTCCCAACCTATTCAAATTAGCAACACACACAAAAGAAAACTGCAAAAAAAAAGAAGATATTTGACATGCACATTGGTTATTTCTAATCCCTCTAAGATAAATCCATGCTTTTAAAGAAATCCTGAACTCGGACATTCCCAAGTAAGAAAAAATGACAGCAATTACTATTATAGCAACAGGCAGGGAAGTTGTCGGAATCATAACATGTCAAATATGAATGACACCCTGTCATCCCCACAGAGCAATCCTCTCCTCCTCTCCAGAGCAGACAGATCAAGAGAAAAGCTTTCTTACCTGCCTGGTTGTCTGAGTGTTTCACTTGCACTCGGTCTGGGTGTGCGAGTGTGTGTTCACTCATACAGAATCCCTCCGAACAGGAACTGATGAATCTGCACGACTTCAGCCCTGCAGCGTGCAGTGCATTATGGGGTTTCAGTCTCTCTCTCTCTCTCTCTCTCTCTCTCTCATCTCTCTCTCCTCTCTCTCTCTCTCTCCTCTCTCTCTCTCTATCTCTCTCTCTCTCTCTCTCTCTCTCTCTCTCTCTATCTCTCTCTCTCTCTCTCTCTCTCTCTCTCTCTCTCTCTCTCTCTCTCTCTCTCTGTTGGCACAGTGTTGGAGGGGGATGTCCTCACCTCCTGTCTGGAGAGAGGAGGGTGAACTCACACGCGTTGTATCCACACACACACACACACGCAATTTAGAATAAATTGTGTTGAGCACCGCTGCTCTGGTTGCCATAGCAACATCTCCCCACACCCTCTCGCTCCTGTATCTCTACAGGGTCCCTCGCCGTGTATTCTGTTTGAATTGTGAAAAACAGTGAACAAATGATCACAAACTTCACTCATTGTACTCCTTTAATTCTTACATGTACTTCTTAATTCTAGCATGAGCTTCACGGCTAACACAGAAAAGAGGAGAGACTGTTGGAGCCGTGTGCCGATAACTAACTGTTGCTTTTGCTTCTGGGAAGACGAGAGGCTGGTGAGTTGTCAGGGAATACAGACAGACAGAGATAATGAAAGTGTGTGTGTATGCACATGCATCTCTGTGAGTGTGTTTGGTTTCATTGTGTTGGAGTGTGTGGATTGATAAGCTGGTTCCTAAAAAGCAGACTTTAGTTCCTGTTTGTGGTTTCTTCTTGTCCCTTCTGCAGCTGGTTGATAACCCACATTTCAGTCAATTACCAATAAGGGAAGCACAGCTGGACCGACCAATGAAATGAATGGATCGTGTGCACACATGCACACAGGCAAACAGAAAGACTGACTGAGACCACTGGTGTAATTATTTAATTGTTATCATTATTCACCTTCCTGGAGGCTGGTTATAACTGTTATTTAGTGGCTGATTCAGAATGACTGGTGATTGGTGGTGAATTATCAAGAAAAGGAGGGGGGGTGGGCGTTGACAGGCAGAAAAAGAGCAGAGGCTGAGAGATGGCGGGATACGTACTGTAAAGGAGAGAGAATGACGGTGAGGAAGAGAAGGAGACGAGACCTTCTCTCCACCGTCTCCCATGGCGACAGAGTGGGTGGAAGGCCTTTCTGTCCTTCAGGCCTGTAAATCAGCCGCTCACAGCTGGGTCCTGCAGCGTAACACACTGGTGACCTCCAACGCTAAATCTTTCAACATCTAGCCTTCCTGTTTTTGTCTCGCAGCCTTCATCACTGTCTCTTCCCCACTTTTTCTCTGTCGCACTGCCACATTCTGCTGCCAACCCCTAACTGATGTACATGTTCATCATGTTGATCAAGAGTGTTACTATACTGTACCAGAACACAATTGTAAAAAGAAAACTACATCTCCCATAGTTTGTTTAGTTTGTTTATTTATTTAAAGGACAGTGCACATTGATCAACATTGCTGTAAACGTGCCAGTGTTAGCCAACAGGCTAATTTTCAACTGTTGTCCTTTTGGCAAGATGTGAAAATAACCACAACAAGACTAGATAAATAAAAACATAATACAACAAATACACACAGCAACAGACAACAACAGTACAACAATAAATCGGAACAGACAAACATGCAAACAGATGAAATACTATCATATAGGCAACCCGATATCACGGCAAGACGTGAACATGTGACGATTTACCATGCTGGGAGACGTGAAGATGTCACGATTTCGTCCCTTAAAACTATAGTCTATGCATAAAACGTGACAGTTACATATTAATATAATAATGATTTATTTTGTAATAGTCACACTCGATTACGCCGATTTTCTTGTTGCCCCAGCTGGTCGACACCTCTTTTAGCAGAAACAAAGGCTACATTAATGTATTAAATCGATGTTAATCCATGCGTGTGGATGTGGAATTAACGGACGTGACGTTTTGCGATTGGAGTTGCCAGGCAACAGCTTCGGTTCATGTTAATTTACAAACTCTTCAACTACAACCGCAGTTGTAAGAGAATATTTTCATCTGATCTGTTTATAGAGTTTCTTATTGTTTTATAGAATCTGTGATACTGCAAACATCTGCTTGTAGTCAGTCAGAGACTCCTCTATAGGTTGAGGTCACAGGTCAAACGCTTCTCCTATGTCCGTGGGGGGTTGACCTGGCAGCATCTCTTTGAGACAAGCAGACCATTGTCTCGCATCGGCTATTGATTATACGCGGGCTTTCTGGGAGCCCGCCTCTCCTCGTGTTGGTTAGATGTTTTGTGTCTTTTGGTTCAGAGATTACCTTGGTGGAGCACAAGGACAGTGTGAAACTAGGATGATTTCCCGGCTGTATGTAATTGTCTGTCTCTCAATAAATATCAGTGTATTGACAGGCGAATCCAGTTTCCCTCATTTGATGATGCGCTCAACATTGCTGCAAAGAAGTTTTTACTTCACAGCAGTTATATTTAAAAACATGTTAGAAGCCTCACAAAATACTTTAATGCAAATTAAAATGTAAATGTGAAGGAATGTGTGTATAACAAAATACATCGGTCATAAACGAAACCGGAAACAGACGTAGGCAAGATCCTCAGCTCGATGATTGGATGGTTTAGCCGCAATGCATGCTGGGACTTGGTGTTTATGTGATGTGAAATCTGAAAACGTTTTTTAAAAATAAAATAATACTTTATTCCGAGTGTGCTTGCTTTTCTCTTTGAAAGTCATCACATAACGGCATTGTAATACACGGTTCGGCTGCATTAAATATTACATATCTGCCGTAGTTCTCTATTTATAGAGCCCTGCTGAGAAGACTTCTAGACAAACAGGAGAACTGCTGCCAAAACTGAAAACGTGACGTGGATCATATATATATCAGCAATTAAACAACATCTTACATTTCTTTTCACACAATACGTCTCCTTGCAGTATCAACAGTAATTCGGCTGACTTTTATATTTGATCCAATTGGTAGATAGGCTGTATTTACACCATAACGGTGCACAGCTGATAGAAAGGGACACCTGGTGGTTAAAGCATGTTATTGAATTGTATTATTTTATTATTAGATATTAATAGGAGGGTGTGCAAAACAGACAAACTAATAAGGCTTAATTTAAACATTAAAGAGTACTTTAGGTTAAGGTCTTCTTTTGAATAAGAAAAAAGCTTTGGGGGTATAGAAGAAGAATATGGAGGGATGAAACCCTCTTTAATGGTCACACATGCAGAACACACAGCACACACAGTGACATTTGTATCTACAGATAAATATTAAGCCTGACAAAGTACTTAACGTCTAATATTGCTTTCCTGCTATGTTAACTATGTTTAAGCACTTATTTTAACTGATATTATACATATGTACTATACTCTTATAAGATGTATGTAGTATAAGAAATGTGCAGAATATGACAGTTTAATGTTGGAGGTACACAGACATATTGATAGATGTCTTGTCACTGTTGAGGAACCTGCGACCCAAGTTTTTCATTCATTGCATAACTACACCGTAGTTGTGTATATGATATGTCAATAAACCTTAGCTTAGAAAATCTTGAAATCTTGAAAGGGAGGTGCAAACTAGTCATTATATACAGTCTTTAATTAATTAGTAGAGAATAAAGAGTAATGAATATACTTTATAGGGATCTGTTACAGCCGCTGCTACCTTGTGAGCTTAAGTCTGTTTGTGTATGTAAATGAGCTGTGCAGTTCCTCTGCTGTCATTGGCCGTCCGGACCGCTCAACATCCGCGGGGATTGGACAGACGTCGCCCAACCCCTGCTCGCTTCTGCCACGTCATCCGGGGGAGGAGTATAAAGGCTGAGCACGGACAACAGTCGGGAGGCTCTGTATTTTGTGTCAGATGCCTCAACCCTAACCTTGTGATAAGCCTTCATTCTGTGAATTCTGAGATTTAGCGTGTGTCTTTGGTATTAGCTCCACTGATTAGCAGTGTCTATAGTAGGGTTCTAGGCGAGCACACTGAGTAGCAGTGTGTCGTCGGGTTCTGTGTTAGGTAGGGATTTTGTGTGTGTGTATACTGCTTAGATCCAGGTTGATTAGCACCTGTAGACCAGCGTTCCAGTGAGTGGATATTGCGTAGAGCCAGGTGATTAGCACCTGTAGACCCGCACCAGCTGTGTGTTTCCACAGTCCCGTTTTGTTTATTGCTTGTTTCCACTTGAGTAGTGAGATTTGTTTTTCTTTCTATAGCGGGGCAACTCTCTTTTGGAGACCCTTTGTGTTGTATTATAGTGACAGATTGACCCGTGTTGTGGGGCCAATCTGTGTGACCATCATTTTGCCTAGTTTCAGTGACAATAAAACCACCGGTAACAAATATACCAAATCCAATCTGGTCGTGTCGTTTCCCGTTTGTACCCTAGCCAAGTGGGAACGTAACAGGATCCTATTAATATCTAATAATAAAATAATAAAATTCAATAACGTTCTTCAACCACCAGGTGTACATTTCTATCAGCTCTCAAATCAAATCAAATCAAGTTTTATTTATATAACACATTTATAAACGATTTTTGGTCGAGCCAAAGTGCTGTACATATAATAAAAATAGCCTACAGTAGAGATACTTTACAGCTAATACAACAGCACAGATTGTTCAGAATATCAGTATGAGAAAAAACGACACCCTCTATCCTTAGACCCTCACATCGTACAAGGAAACACTTCCAGAGAAAAACCACAGTTTAAAGGGAAAAATGGGAGAAACCTCAGAGAGAGCAACAGAGGAGGGATCCCTCTCCCAGGACGGACAGACGTGCAATAGATGCCGTGTGTAAATCGAAGAGATAATACATTTTACAGCATAGGTAGTCCAAATGTTAGGAAATGCATGTGTCTGTAATAAGAAGATGAATCTACGAAGATGTCAACTTCGATGTCAAGCTCTGCACCGTTATGGTGTAAATACAGCCTATTGTAGTGCCGTGAAAAGAGAGTCGGAGGCGGTGTATTAAGAATGGAGTTCC